ATCTATTGTATGTCAAAAATATCAGTTCCTTGAGATTTGTTCTCTGCTACGGTATCCCTGGCAAAACTATTCATTTAGCTGCTTATAAATCCTATTCTGTTGTCGGTTCCTCTTCATTTTTGTTTATAATTTTAAACATTGTCTCTCCTGTTGCTGCATTACAATTACACACTTGAAACAGTAACATTCCAACACACACATATGCCTAAGCACACGCATCATAGACACCCACACTACAATACAACCACACACACCCGTCTACTCATCGACACATTCATTTACATTTGTTGTTGTTGTTTTAGTCTCAAAATCTAAATTTCCTGTAAAAATGACATTTATTTACATCTAAACATTCTATATAACGGAAACCTGTTAATACCGATCGGTTATAAGCGAATGTGTGCGTGTGTGTGTTTGAACATATTTAGATTTCCCTTTTCCCCTACACTTTTTTTGACAAAATCTCTGGGTGTGCCTGTGTATGTTAGTATTTAAAGCGTTTTGGATTTATGACAAGTTTATGTATATGTATGTATATAACATTTTTATATGTGTGTAGGTGTTTTTTTTTTTTTGTGCCAGTACTTAAAGTGGGTGCTGGTGCAAATCCTCTCTCGAGAGTATAGTACGACTTAAATATTTTTGTGCAAATCTCGTTGCATATGGGGTTCTTTACATTTTTCAAATGACAAACATTTTTTGGGTTTTTGGCGCCACTGTGAGTGTGTGTGTGCGTTGATACCACAGCGGCATGGTAGAGATTTTGAATAAACAGCAACACACACACACAAATCGGAAAAACTAAAAACTTTAAGGTATGTTGACTATTGAAGATGACATATAGGGGCTGGGCTAGGGAGGTGGCGGGAGCTTGGGTTTCAATGGATCATATGCGAATAGTTGGCCCAATATGCTGTTGAACTGTTGTAGAACGCTTAATACTTAAGCTGTTCCAAACTGTTTTTATATTTGCGAACAAACAAAAACATTTGCTAAACGTTATAGTTTTTGAACTTGTGTGCCTGTATGTGCGTGGGATATACATATCTCTTTATAAGGATTTATGCTAGTCTATGTTTAGTAAGGGAAATGATGAGTTCCTCATATGAATGTATATTTTAATTATACATTGTAGGATTACAATAAGTTAGCAAATAGTAATTTTTATTGAGCTATAGGTCTCAAAAATTTTTATTTGAATCGATAGTAAGATCAATATAATTAAGTGTTTGAAAATCATTTCGTTCAAATGTTGACCGAGAACACGCTGTTATTTTTAAAGTGATCGTAACATTTGTGAACATTTTACTTTAAGTTCCTCGTACAGAAGGTTACAATTGTTCCTTCCAAAATGGGCTGATAGTTCTCATCTATTGTCGACAACACCGAACATTTGAAATCGTCAACTTCAAATGTTAATGGTTGTCAATTTCGAAATAATTATATTCTACATTATTGAGATACATAAAATTTATAGTTGATTTTATCTGAAGCTATGACAACTAAACTACTTATCAGATTTAATAAAGATTCTTTTTACTCCTTTACATACCTACGTAGTTAGGTAGGTAGTTATGGATGTCTGCAAAACTATACCATAATAATGTACATGTAAATCTTTTTACAGAATTACTTCATCAATTCAATCCATTGAAAATACGTTTGTATGTGTATGAGAATCAACCACCCCTTTGCCCTATACAAATCTACAACGATTGTACGCCAATACAAAAAGGATTAATCCGCTTAATACCTTAAGCTCTTACTGCTATAAAATCATGTTTTATTTTTGTTATAATTGGTTACCGTCGTTGTAGTTCGACGTCTTTAGCAATCGTCGTTGCAGTCACAAAAATAAATCTCTTTTATATGGCTGAGGAAAATAGGAAAGAGAATTCGATATTGATATGAGATGGGCAGAACATAATGGTATTGTTCAGCATTCCACAAATATTAAAGGGCATTGTGTGTGCGTATATTTTGGCTATCCAATAGCGTGACAAAAAGTTGGCTGGAAAATGGGTTGTTTTGGTTTTATTTAAATAAATTCAGCAACAATGAAGGATTATGGAGTTTTTAACCCTAATTTAGCTAATATCAAATGTGTTTATCTGGCTCAATTGAGGGCACAGTGTTTTAGGAAAAATTATATTTATATATCACGAATTCCATGTCACGCACTGTTACAGCGTGCGAAATATAATCGTTTGTTTAGTTAAGAAAAATTTGTTTCCGAAATTTCTTTCGCAATTTTTATTAAATAGTTTTACGCCTTTTACAATACCTGCTAATTTTTTTTATGAATATGTTTGTAAATGTCGGAGATATTAAGAAAAAATTAGCGTACGCACGCGCTACAAAATTTTCCCTTTAAAAATTGGATATCAGTTTCGATATGAAATTTCTGCGAATTGGCTGGAGATAAAATTGCGGATTTTTTTTACAGCTATAATGGGTTACTCAAGATTATATTGACATTCAATTTTTTTGAGAAAAAAATTTCTAAGATATACTTTTTTAACTTTGAACACCGTCACGCACATGTTACACTCGTAACGCACTGTTACACACACATGTACTAAAAAAATTAAATTCAAAACAGAATGTTTTAAAAATGCTAGTTCTTATACCCCACACAACCATGTTGTCAGGATATTATAGCTTTGTGTGGCCCCAAGAACTTTGGTAAATCATTATGCAGTTATGGACGACATTTTTGCCTGTAAATTCGGTTCTAAAGCAACTTATTGAGGAAGAATGTAACATGTGCGTGACGGATACAAATTTGTTCGATGGAGATAGAAGACAAACTTTGTTTTATTTGAATTTGTCATCTCAAGATCCACACATAACAGCATTATCACAAAAAAAATTCTCATATTAGAGTCTGTATAGAAACATATGCTAATTTTGTCACGCACGCGTTACATATTTTCTTACACTATTTAACTGCACTTACCACGGGATTCTCTTGGTATATGTATAGGTTTATATATATGTAATTCTTAGTAAGATATTACTCTATTTGAATTTAATATTTATTATTGATATTGTTTTAGCTAACAGCGTTCACACTTACGACAAATGACACTCTAAAACTAATAAAAATATGCCCAAGTTACTCTCCACGCGAAAATGGTACAACGAAAAGAAAAACTACGGTTATTTTTCAAAATTCAACTAAAAATATATTGTCCGGATTGCAAAGAATATTTCCTATATAATTTCATATCTCTCTTAACGAATTGATTTTTCACCTGTGTGGTTGACCTTTTTGTGGAATTCGTGATATACTAATTATACCCTTCACCACACTGAGGTACAGAGTATTATGTCTTTGTGCATATGTTTGTAAGAGACAATAGGAAACGATATAGACTCGTGGTTACTTTTGAGAATGTGCATAGAATCACCTTCTGAGTCGATATAGGCATGTCCGTCCGTCCATGTATTTTTGTGAACAAAGTGCAGGTAGCATTTATGATCCGATTTGGATAAAATTTGGCACAGCTCACTATTTGTTCCAAAGACGAACCCTATTGAAATTGGAGAAAATCGTTTGAGACTTGAATATAGCTCTCATATATAGTTTCGTCCGACTTTATATAAATGGTGCACCAAGCTTCCAATAAACAAATGGTACGATTGAGACCAACTTTTGCAAATAGTACTGAATTAGATTCTGATTCTGATATAGATTAAGATCCAATATATATTTTCGTCCGATCTTATACAAATGCAGTACCAAAGTGCCAGTGTTTCTCCGATTGAGACACAATTGTGCGCACCGTACTGATATTACTACGTCCGTGAAAATTTGTTGAAATCTGTTCAGGTTTTGATATAGCTCTCATATATATTTTCATCCGATTCCATCTAAGTGGTGTACCAAAAAACTAAAGTTTGTCCGATTGAAGCTAATTTGTACCCGACGTGGCAAATTGAAATTAGAATAACGCGATAAGAGCGGTAACAGCCACATTTGAACAAATTGAGAAGGAGTATGCCAAAGTGGGTCTGACAGTAAACGGCGAGAAGACCATGTTATGGTATCAACGCGCAAGACGTCCAGTTTGAAATCAGTTTTGAAATTCGGAGAAGGATATTGTTGGCCGACCGATGCTACTACGGCCTCAGTAAGCAGTTTAGAAATTATACCACCTCCCGCCAAACCAAACTCACACTCTACAAGACGCTGATACTACCCGTGTTGTTATATGGATCTGAAGCATGGGTACTTACACAAGCAGATGAGACGGCTCTTGGAGTGTTTAAAAGAGAAATTCTCAGAAATTTCTATGGGCTGATCTGCGTTGATGGTGAATATCGCCGTCGAATGATCCATGAGTTGTACCATTTATTCCTGGACGACTGCACTGTCAGACGTATCGAGCTGAAGCGACTGCATTGGTTAGGTCATGTTGTGAGAATGGATGAAGATGTCCCAGCTCAAAAGCATATAAATGCGAACCAGCTGATTGTTCTTGCAGAAGGGCAATACCAAGAATTAGATGGATAGATCAAGTGGAAGACAACATTGCCGAACATGGTCTTTCAAATTAGAAAAAATGAGCAAAAGAACGAAGCGCCTGGAAATCTTTATTAACTTCGGCTTGTGAAACTAAAGTTCTCTCACAAGCCAGCTAAGTAAGTATAAATTTTTCATCATAGACCGTAAGGTTACGTTTGCTTCTAATCGGTTACAACAAGGAGCCTCCATATCAGATGACTCAATCCATCCGACTTTGGCATTTTCATTATAGGGTTTTAATTGGAAACATTTCATATATTTTCGCTTAGACCCTTTTATGCACTATGCTTTCAAAACCTACTTTAGTTTTAAAAGGATAACATTTTTACAGGACAATTAGCGAAATTAAATACCCTTTTATAGTAGGCTGATTAAGGGATGTTATTCGAAATCCTTTTTTTACTCTACTGGTGGTTAATATTTCGACAAAACAAAAGTAAATAAACTAACAAGACATACAAATTTATTTTCACTTACAATTGACTTTGGTTATATCGAAATCTTTGCGCTGTTCCATGGGACCAGCAGTGGAACTAAGCACTTTCTCTGCACTCTGATGATGATGCTGTTGTTGGTGATGGTGTTGGGCAGCAGCGGCTGCTGCAACGGCATTTAAAGCTGACGGTGGCAGACATGTAATACTGCCCATAACACGCTGGCCATGATGATGGCTATCGGAACGTTGTTGTTGCTGCTGCTGGGCTGAGGTATTATGAGGCGTTAGATTGTGATGATCACGTTCATTTGGCTTTGGTGTCGAACTATTTTGACTAGTTGTTGAATTGGGTTGACCCAAGGGTGTTGATGACATCTCCCGGTGTAATGTAGGGGATGGTGTGGTATTGTGATTAGATAAATTACCCGCCGAATAATGTGGGCTACGTTGCAAATCATTTTGTTGTTGTTGCTGCTGATGTTGCAATTGTTGTAATTGTTGCAGTTTGTCTTGAACACCCTGTAATGAGGATCTTCTTTGTTGTTGCTGCTGCAAACGATTGGCCTCATTGTTTGTGTCTTCTACTGATCCGGCTCCTCCTCCACCTCCTGTGGCTGAAGTCGAATTTTGTGCATTGGCATTTGTGGGCGATTGCCGGCTATTGTGATGACCCAGTGATGAAACCAATGATGAGATGGGTTGCTGTTGTTGTGCTGGAGGTGGCAAAGGTGGAGGTGGCGACAATGAATGCTCTGTCTTAACCACAACATCGCCATGCAAAGCTGACTCGCTGTTGCTGACCTGTTTGCTGGCATTGGCGGCAGCAGCTGCTGCAGCAGCATTGGCAACACGTGTTAAGGCCAAAGCCTGGCTCTGAAAGAAAAAGAAAATAAAAATAAACAAACATGTTTAGCCATTGAAATAACATTTCTAAAAATACATAAATTTTAAAGAATTGTATAAAAAATTGTCTTCCTCAAAATTCTATGATTGTTAACTTAACTAAATGACTTAAATTATTTATTTATTCTATTTGTCACACTGATTGTCTGTCATATCGAATAACAGTACTACTGCCAAAGAAATTTCACTTAAATCTAAATCATTGACGTCCATTTCTTTTCGATTTTTGTTGTTGCTGGCATCAGCTTGGCTTGTCATTTAATTGGTGTGTCTCGTCTTGTCATGCCTGTACGGCCGGCCGTCCACCCATCGTCAATCGCTAAAGAAAATAACCCAGTTTCTGTTTTTTTCGAAATTTAATTCTTCCATTTCAAATAATTGGATATTATTGAGCTTTATTTGGTGAACAAATCAAAGTAGAGTATAAAGTTCAGCACAACATTTTTTTATGGCTATATTGATGGGTGTTGGTGTGTGTGTGAGTGTGGGTTTTGTGGACTATAATTGTATAGCTGTTATTCTAACAGTTAAATGAATTTAACCCATAGTATTCAATAACCTTAATGGATGACAACACACGATTTTGGTTTCAATGTTTTTTTTTCATCACATTTTCGTTTATTTCTGTACATGTGCCGAGATTTATTTATTAAGACAAATTACGCGGACAAGTGTGGAAAATTTGGAGAGAGAGAAAAATTAATAATAAAAAATCAGAGTAGGTAATTGTTCGCAAGGTTAGTGTGAATAAAAATGGTTTAGGGAATATATGTTTATGCGGCATAAAAATATATTCTCTATTGTAATGAAACCCCCTAAGCAAAGTTCAAATGTCGGACGGAGAGATGCTCGTAAAATTCTTATTGAGGTCCAACAAATACGGTTCCTCTTTGGGTCAAATAAATAAGCTGCACAAAATTGTATATCATTCGGATCATAAATGTGACATGTAGTTGGTTTTCAATTTAAAATGCCTACATTGCCATACTATGCATATTCTAAAAACATGCCTACAGTGTTACCGCTGGCAATTTTATAAAAGTTGCACAAAAAGTCGTTCCCTTGAAAAAAGGCACAGAAAAATAAATTTGTCAATAAAACCTGCCATATGTCAGATACCCTTGGAATTCATAAACGACGTAGAAAAATTTTTTGAATTAACACATAAAAAGGAAAATTCAACTTTAAAAATAAGAAAGAAGAAAAGTCGCACAAAGCAAAAAATTGCAAACACAGTTACAGGGTCAAAAAGGTACCAAAGGGTATAGCAAATACCCTGTTGGTCTATCTAGATTTTTTTGCATGTTACAAACATATGCACCAAGAAATTATGCGGTATAGGTTATAAATACACGATTTACGAAATAATATGTCCTTTTCAGTGTGGTACTGTATGCAATATTGCGTGTAAAATGGGCAAACCTATTGGAATTTGGAGCACCATTTAGATAAAATCGGCCGAAAATGTGTACGGGGGTTATGTATATCTAAAACTGCAATGATTTCAACGAAAATTAACAAACATCATTCCATACTCAATTCAATACGCTATGCTAAATTTCGTGTTGATTTCTTTTAATAGCGCTCATGAAATCTGGGTTAATTTTGTCCGACCCGCAACCAATTTTTTATACGGAAATATTATTCTCTAGCATCGTAAATAACTTTTGCTAGTTTTTTCAGTTGTGGACAAAAAGTACGCTGAAGATTTTTAGGCAGTGCCATTGTAAACTTTTCATTTTTTTGTTGCAAGGGAGAGATCGTTTTCTTTCGTTAGGCATTTTTTTTTTTGCATTCCGACGATCATTTCAAACATAACTGATGTATTTTCTTTCATTTCCGTAAAATGTCATAGGTGGATCACCAGTAAACTCGATAAAAAAACGCTTTAATAAGTTTTGATCTGAGTTTTTTAAATAATTTGTTTAAATAATTAAATTAAATGAATAAAATGGCCAAACCGGGACCAACGGCTAGGAAGGTTCTGCTATGCATTTGGTGGGACTGGAAGGCGATTATTTACTATATGGTCAAACGCTTCCATATGGTCAAACGCTGAATTCTGAACTCTACCGTCAACAACTGGACTGTTTGAAGATAGCAATTGACCAGAAGGTCCAGAATTGGCAACAGGAGAGGTGTCGTGTTCCACCAGGACACCGCTAGGACACACACAACTACAGTGAATTGCCAGAAACTTCGGGAGCTTGGTTGGGAAGTTTTAATTCATCCGCCATACAGTCCGGACTTGGCACCAAGCGATTATCATCTTTTTATACCCTTCACCACACTGTGGTACAGGGTATTATGTATTTGTGCATATGTTTGTAACGGGCAAAAGGAAACAAGATAGACACATGGTTCCTTTTGAGAATATGCATAGCATCACTTTCTAAGTCGATTTATGCATGTCCGTCCGTCTGTCTGTCTGTCCATGTTAAATTGTAAACAAAGTACAGGTCGCATTTATGATCCGAATTGGATGAAATTTGGCATAGGTCACTTATTCGGCCCAAGGACGAACCCTTTTAAAATTGGGAAAAATCGGTTCAGATTTAGATATAGCTCCCATATATATATTTAACCGATTTAAAATAAACGGTCCCTATATATCTTTCGATTTGCACGAAATTTGGTACAGCCTAATTATTTAGGCCTTGAATGATGTCTGCCAAGTTTCGTAAAAATCGGTCCAGATTTAGATATAGTTCCCATATATAGTTTCGTCCGATTTCATGTGAATGGTGCCCCAAAGTCCCTAAATATCTTTTGATTTGCACGAAATTTGGCATAACGTACTGAATTAAGCTTAGAGTGATGTTTGCCTTGTTTGGTGAAAATTGGTCCAGATTTAGATATAGCTCCCATGTATAGTTTCGTCCGATTTCATGTAAATGGTACACCAAAGTCGCTATATATATATCTAGAATGAGTCTAGAATGATTTGCAACGTGAAAAAATTTGGCAATATATACGTACTGAATTGAGTCCCTATATATCTAGAAATGACATAACGTACTGAATTGAGCCTAGAGTGAGTTTCGTGAAAAGAGGTCAAGATTTAGATATAGCTCTCTCTTATTATAGATTGATTTTAAGTAATTGACGCACCAAGGAACCAATAGGAACAAAACGTTCTGAAATTAGTATAACCTAACCTGTGACAAGTTTGTTTGAAATCGCTTAATATTTGGATAGAGCTTCCATATATATTTTCGCCCGATTTCAAGTAAATTGGGCATCAAACTCCTCATGTTAGTCAGATTGACATCAAATTTTGCACAACGTACAAAATTGAGCATATAATTACGTAGTTGCGTTTTCTAGAAGTACAGACATAGCCCAACGGATGACCTATTTATATTTGTTTGAAGTCGATTGACATACTTTATGGATGGATCTAGGTAGATTCACATTTAGATAAATATCACATATTTTTTTCATCCAATTTTGTGTTAATCAGGGACCGAAAATAACAGTTATTTTTTAAAATGCGAACAAAAAAATCTTCATGTTAGAGACATGGGACACTAATAGTGTCATATACCAATAGATTCGTACTGAGGAGCCCATTGAGGATATTGAGTGATCTTGAGAAAACACTCTCAGTTCCCATGTTAAGGATTATTTTTTAACGGAAAAAATAAACGTTGATTTTTAACTGTTAAAAATGATTTTTATTTTTTCCGTCTAAAATAAAAGTCTTTTTGCGATTTTTATTTTTTCCGTCAAAAATAAAAGTCTTTTTGGGTCTTTTATTTTTTTTCCGTCAAAAATAACAGTCTTTTTGGGACTTTTATTTTTTCCGTCAAAAATAAAAGTCCGTTAATTAAAGTGGATTTTTTTTATTTAGGTCACATAATAACAGTTATTTTTTACCTGATTTGATATAAGTTATAACCGTTACGGTCCCTGGTGTTAATAGTCCTGTTTAACATACCCATAGTGGTGAAGGGTATCGTATAGTCGGCCCCGTCCGACTTTACTATTTTCCTTACTGGTTTTGGATTGCAAAATTTCTTTAATGATAAAAAAATTGGCATCTAAGGAAGATTTTGAAAATCGACTACTAGAGTTTTTTGCAAGTATAATGAAAAACAATCATACAACAAAACGATACATATTTGACCCAAATCGGACATTCCGAAGCATGGTATATAAAGTCCTGTAATTCATATAAAAAATAGGTTTATTTTTCCCCAACCTAATATATTCATATGATTTCCTGCATATTTAACGATAAACATGTGCTACATCAGTTGAGGTATATACGGCTTGATACTGAAATAATATACTGATCCTAACATCACTCTTTGCTTATTCTTTAAAAAGTGTAGGATATCCAACTTTTGACACTTTCTTTGTTACAAATTGAGCACAGAGTATTTAAACAAATATTTTTTGTATTCGTAATCGTTTATACCATATTCCCAATTATAAATATGTAAATTAATAACAAAAAAGTTCTAATTAAACCTTTGCAACATAACCTTGTCTCGATCACGTTAATTCAACTCCCAAAAACCACGAACAATATTTAATATATTCCATAAAAGAATATAATAAATCTTAAATCACATCCGCTATAAAAGTTGTTATAGAGTCAAATTTTAATCTTATCCTTATGTCAGCCTACATTTTTCAACTTCCACGAAAACCAGTAGTGTTTTGTTGTTAATCATCTAACAGATCATAAGGATAAACATCATGAAAATGATGATTTCGATCTTTCTTCCCAATAAAATGCCCAAAGATATTTTTGTGAGTCCCAAAAAATATGAAACGTGTTTTCTGCCCTGCCACCAAATTGCGAGCATCACTCTTCATTGAGTTTGAATATGTATTTTTCGTTGGTCTCATTTTTTTTTTTTTTTGGTTTCGTTTTGATAAAACATATTTCATTATAATTTTCTACAGTAGCATCGATAAGTTAGCGATCAACGACACAAGTAATCGATCTTTGTCTACAA